CCCCCCCCCCCCCCCCCCCCCCACTTATCTGAAGGTCTGGATTAGCCACTGTAATAAAGTACCCCTCCCCAATGAGATGCTTTGTTAACCACTGTTCAGCCCATGGTTCAGTCGTTTAACGCTGGCGATGTTCAAGACTGGAAGTAATAGCCCTGCTCATCGCATTAAGTAAGATGACATAATTATTCTGAAAGAAAAAAATGACCAGTTTAACTTACAACAAGTTTTGTAAATGTTAACAAAAGGCTAAGTAGCTCCAAGCAGAAGCAAAGCATTCTTATCCTGTGTGGGAACATGATGTCATTGTTGTCCAAAATCTCCTATTTTGTCTGAACAGGTAAAGTGCATTTCCAATTAAGACAGCATTATTTTCAAACAGCTGGGTTTTTCGATAGCCTAAAATGCAGCCAATTCTCCTTTACTTCCGGCCACTTCAAGGAAATGATCCTATTAGTGTTGAAAACAGTTAGAAAAAAAAAAACGGTACAAATAACACGGGAAAATTAGAGTTTCTTTTTGTGTGTCCAAAACGTTTACTCAATTATTTCCTCAAATAAAGTACACCAGATATTTAAAATACAGTGAAAAAGAGAATTTATATTCAGATTGTAATGAATTTATGTACAAGGTCGTATGGTTGATTCTCCTCGCTCCGCGCCCCAAGGGACGTAACCCGTGTACAGACGCCCCTCCCCTCAGGAAAACTCAGGGAGATCGCCGTCGTCATTTTAGCTAGATATTCTATTGTTGATTCATCCACGCCAAGGATTGAGCTTTTTTGCTGCCACCTTGCACAGCGAATTACACATTCCTTCGTGTCTTACAGTTTAAATTTATTTACAATGATAACCACACTACAAATCTATTGAAATGCGGCATAGCTTTGGAAATTTATACAATATTACACTGTCCAAAGGGTACACTTTAGGAATGTTGCTTAAGGACTATCAGTTTCATCGTCCGCATTTTGCTCCCGCCAGCTCATAAATGAAATTGTACTTTGGGAACTAGGCGGATGTGATCTCAGCGTTCCATACGGAGAAAAACGTCCAGGAATTACTGGCCCGTGTGTGACGGAAGACGCAAAGGGAACGCTACGATGCGAATCGCCTGGAATTACACATTGCAGCTGCGGTCCATACAGATGGGGTCTTAGGGTTCCATACGAGGGAAATGGGATTACTGACGGGTGTGTGACTGAAGACGTAGCAGGATCACTAAGATGCGGATCAGATGGAATTGTACTTTGCGGTTGCAGCTCATACTGTGGCGGTCTTATTGTTCCAAACGGGGAAGAACGTCCGGAGATACCTGGGGGGTGGGTGACTGTAGACAGGCCACTACCACTAAGATAAGAAGCGTCTAGAAATGTATGGTGCGGTTGCAATTCACGCAGTGACGGACTAGGCGTTCCATACGAGGCGTGTAATTCTGGGGTTTGTAACGGGAGGGTGTCGGTTGATAAACCATAACCAGCAAGATTCGGAACGTCTGGTATCGTACTTTGGTGTTGCAATCCATGGAGTGACGGTCTTGGCGCTTCTTGGATTTGGTAGATAAACCATAACCAGCAAGATTCGGAACGTCTGGTATCGTACTTTGGTGTTGCAATCCATGGAGTGACGGTCTTGGCGCTTCTTGGATTCTTAGCGGGTGAGTGATTGTAGACACACCCAAACTGCTAAAATTAGACGCCGATGGAATTGTAGTTTGTGGTTGTAATCCATGCAGTGGTCTTCTCAGCGTTCCGTAAGGGGGACAAAATTCCCGCATTTCAGGCGGATGTGTGAAGGTAGACATACCAGAACCACCGGGATACGGTTCGCTACCCAAGGACCTTCCAGGGGTAAAGATGGTGGATGGGGTGCTGTGATGGTGGGTGCTGAACAGTGATGCGTCTTCACTGAATCCATGCGCCACAGAAATAGGAACTTCCACTAAAGGGGACAACAGAAGGAATTAGAATTCCACAAGTAACATGATGATACAGCGAAAGGGACGAAGTCTTAAACTAGATTTCGTCCTTTCCCAATGTTACAAACCCTCTTTTCACGATGCAATATTACATACTTTGCCGAAACAAAACATGAGGAAATAAACAATTGGAAAAGTCATGATTACAGACGAGAAGAAAGGTGCCACTTCACCCTTTTTATTTTACAAGGCTTTCTGTAATACGACTGAATTCGCGCGGGCAAAATATTAAATATTACATATTAAATATATAATACGACTGAATTCGAGCGGGCAAAATAAACCGAATCCTATCCTGGCTAGCTCGTGATTTCCCGCGGTTGTCCCGCTAGAAAAAATACTCTTTTGACCATGAAATAACCCTTCCTCTCTCGTCTGGGTCAATAAAAACGCAAACATTCGGCAGTAAGAAAGCCTTGGAAGGCAAGAAACGGGAACTGGGATCTGCCTATTTTTCGACAGGGAAAATAAGAACTTCAAGCGCCGGAAGTCCTTAAACATTGTCATATTAGTGCTTAAATCTTTCACGGCGTTTATTCAATTGTAGAATTTTGTTGTAGTTTTGACAGGAATAGACAAAAAACGGAAACCTTACCAGCACGATAGTGAGGCAATGGAAATGGTCTTACGGTTTCTTGACCGTAAACAGGAAGCAGTGAATCGTGAGTACTGGGGCGAGTGTTCCTCTGCAACGCTGCCGCAGTCTGTGGATTTGAGAGGAGACAAGAAAGAAAACAAGCTGATAACCTCATACGATTGTCAAGCAATAACTGTTTCCTTCGAACGTAAAATGTACAAAAAAGCGTGACGTTTTGATTGCCATTCTCGTGACGTCGCCGTCGTCGTTGCTTTTTAAAAGCTCCCTATTTATCCGGGCGCTAAGGATGAAGACAAAGTCGAGCGCCAAGCCCTAGAAAGAGCGCCAAGCCCGAGACTGAGTGTGAAGCACTTTCCGCTCGACCGTGACTCCTCTTTTGTGATCGGCTAAATAGGGCCTTGTTCAAATCAACCCTCAATAGTATTTTACGCTTTTTTTTTCAGCGAATCTCCGACGTCGTGTTTTTTTCCTATATTACAACAACTGTTCTACACAAGTTAAGTGAGTAGTCAAAATTTAACTATTCTCACTGCATACATAATTATCCCGTAACGCGCGAAATAAGAAACTCTTTTAAATTCCGTCATGTCGAGTTTGCCCGCTAGTGGCATGATGCAACGCTGCCTTCTCTTTACATTTTCCCGCCTCCTGGCCAGTTCAACTGATTTCAGTGGAAGTGACCTTGAACTTTACCCCCCTCCCACCTTCCCTGTTGGCGGTTGACGTCGCAAATCCTCATTACTCGGCATGCTTATTGTCGTATCCCGTGATAGGAAAATAGGGGTGCAGTGTGTCTTTTATACTAGGCTAGACTACTGCATCAGATGTAGAAGGATTTACCCATGATTTTCACAAAATTACTTCCGGTTGCCGTGGTAGAGTCCGCCGTAGCGTTTTGCTTTGATGTTCCCTTCAAAATTTTCAGCCCCGTTCAGCCGCCCTTTTCTTCTCTTCCCAGTCCCCCGCTCGGCTTGCTTTCCTCGTCGATTTTTTGTGCCCCGTTCTATTTGCCCCTTTCCCAACCATGGAGCCTGGTACCAGGTTATCACCAGGGGAATGATAGTGAAGATGAATACTGTCTGACAAATCTCCTTAAAACCTTCGTCACGAGAATAAATCTTGCAGAACAGCGAAGGACTTAAAGTTCAACTTATCAACAACTTTCTTATCTAGCAGGGGTCTTAGTAAAGACAAATCCTAACCACTGCTTAATAATAAAACATTTCAGAAAGGCTCTCCGAATCCAGATCCATTACCTCATTAACGAAGAAACATTCAAAATGGGACTCGCCCTGCGTAACTGTAGACAGACCAGATCCACGGAGGTAGGGATATCTCCAGGACCTTCCAGGTGTAAAGATGGTGGACGGGGTGTTGTGATGATGGGTGTGGATATTAGGGGAGGAGTGATGCTGGGGATCAACATGAGGAGGGAGGTATCCACTGAAGGATGCCAGACCCTGGCTGGATCCATGCACTGCAGGAGTAAGAGCTCCCGCTAAAACCAAACCGGCTGTAGAGACAAAAGGGTAGAAGTTAGAATCCCACAAGTGACACTTACTCCCGCCCCTGACCAGACGAGTTCATTCAATCATAATGAAATAACTTTTGACCGCGATGGACTCGTGTCAAACGTAGTAGTGGTGTTCCGAACTCTTCAAAAAAGCCAATCACAATCAGGGAAGTTAAAACCTTACCAGCTGAGTCAGGGCGCACTGGGAATGTTCTTACGGTGTCAGGATCGTGAGCCAAGAATGGTGAGCCGTGAACACTGGGATGAGTCTCTGTCAGAATCTGTGCGGTCATAGAAGAGAACAAGAGGTGATCAGCTAATGATCAATCAAATAGAAACTGTTTAGTTAGTTTTTAATACAAGACCACAAAGAGAGAGAATCTCAGTCCCCGAACCAGGTCAAACTCGTGATCTTATACTGACTAGTCAGATCAATTGTAACGAGAATTAACGCTACCCTGTTTAGTCAATTTAATTTTTCAGGCAAGCCTCACGCTACGTGTTTGCTTAAAATGCATAAAAAGCCTCTTCCCACAGCGATAATGTTAATAGTTGTTGATCTTCTCAAAGAGGATCTGTAGAAAATCGGGTTTCACTTTTTTCTTAGATATTAGGGTGGACCAAGCAAAAAGCAACAATCAAGCTTACTGTTGGATACCACGAGACGTAAACCCAACATCTGAGTTCGAGTCTTGTTGATAGAATGTATATGAAATCTTAAATATTAAGAAAAATAACGTTCAAATTCAAAGAATAAGATCTGAAAACGAGGGGTGTCGAATCTGATAAAACACGCCGGACGAGTCATTGGGACTGACGACCCGGGCCGCGACAATGACGAGCAAAACGACGGTGCCGGACCAGTTACTTTGAATACAATTTATCTGTTCTGTTCAATGATCAAGGGACAGAAAAACAGACCTTCACTTGCAATCAGTGGAAGTTAAAGGATAACCTTTGTTAAGTAAATCATATACAAAACATTGATTAAAACTACAAGGAGTAAACTGAAACGAAATTCAAAAAGAAAACTCATGGCAAAACTATGCCTTCTTTTGACCTTATTTCTATGACCCACCTGCTCCTCATCGTTCTCTAATTCAGATGAAGAATCCGGAAGGAGGCGAGGGTACCGAAATGTCCGACGGCTCTCTGATGGCCACTGATGTTCAGGCTTGGGGTCGCCATTTTTCTCCTGAAACAAATGACGATAATACAAGAATCACTTAATATGAAGGTTTTAAGGTCTAATCATGGTTTAATTTTATTAAAACGTGACCAGAGGAGAGAAACAAAATAAACGCGATAACTTCACCATTAGTAAGTTCGAACTGAGCGGGTGCAATAAATATACAGCACTAAAAGCTTTCTCTATAACGCAGCTCTTTGTTAAGCGGTCGCAGCGGAAACTTAACCAAATTACAAAACAAAAGGGTCACTTTCTTAATAGAGTGAAGAACGCCTTCAGATCACTGAAGAGGGGGTTTAAAGTGGGTGGGGGAGGGGAGGGTAGTAACAGTACATATGTGGAATAAATGCCCTGGTTAGCTTTATATTCACTGTAAACTCTAAGTGTAACTTATGTTCCTGTTTTCGTTTCAGTTATCGGGGGAAAATAAGTCTGAAACACACAATCATGTGAACTCCAAAAAGTTTAAAAAGGGGACAGACAGTTAATCAGTTAATGTTTTATCACTCCATGTTTTATTAATCTATGTTTTATCACTCCATGTTTTATCAATCCATGTTTTATTACTCCATGTTTTATTAATCTATGTTTTATCACTCCATGTTTTATCAATCTGTTTTATTAATCCATGTTTTATCACTCCATGTTTTATCACTCCATGTTTCATTAATCCATGTTTTATCAATCCATGTTTTATTAATCCACGTTTTATCACTCCATGTTTTACCAATCCATGTTTTATCACTCCATGTTTTATTAATCCATGTTTCATCAATCTGTTTTATTAATCCATGTTTTATCAATAAATGTTTAATCACTCCATGTTTTATTAATCCATGCTTTATCAATCTATGTTTTATTAATCCATGTTTTATCAATCCATGTTTTATCAATCCATGTTTTATTAATCCATGTTTTATCACTCCATGTTTTATTAATCCATGTTTTATCAATCCATGTTTTATTAATCCATGTTTTATCGCTCCATGTTTTATTAATCCATGTTTATTAAGCCATGTTTTATTAATCCATATTTTATCGCTCCATGTCTTATTAATCCATGTTTTATCACTCCATGTTTTATCAATCCATGTTTTATCACTCCATGTCTTATTTATCCATGTTTTATCACCCCATGTTTTATTAATCCATGTTTTATCACTCCATGTTTTATCAATCCATGTTTTATTAATCCATGTTTTATTGCTCCATGTTTTATTAATCCATGTTTTATCACTCCATGTTTTATTAATCCATGTTTTATCACTCCATGTTTTCTTAATCCATGTTTTATTGCTCCATGTTTTATTAATCCATGTTTTATCACTCCATGTTTTATCACTCCATGTTTTATTAATCCATGTTTTATCACTCCATGTTTTATTAATCCATGTTTTATCACTCCATGTTTTATTAATCCAGACCATGTTTTATTACATGCCTGTCAAAAATGAGAACCGGCTGGCCGTATACTGTGGGACTTTGGAAATTTTTTGAACGCTTTCGCCAAAAGGCCACGATTGACGGTTCTGAACATTGAATGAGTGCAATTTGTCTTGATTAATTGTGAAATTTTGCATTCTTTCCGAGGTTTGTATGACAAATACAGCGCCTCATAGTACCGTTTCATCTCTGATGTTATGTATAAAAAATATAACAAGTTCGTTTACGCGCCCCCAGATTTGTTGGCATGATTTTGTAAAGTACACTTGTCGAACGCAAAAAATTCGGCCTGATTTGTTTTCCGAGAATTTATTTTCCAGGCCTAATCTACTGTGAACAAGAGCCATTATGGCTCTTGAAAGTGATCGAAGATGATTGCTATTTTTTGGGTGTACACTTGTGATATAAGACTATCAACTCGATGTAAGATGTTTCACTCTACAATCACTTAGCCCTTCCCTCAAAAGTCACATGAGTGTGTCCTTAAGTTAACTGATTTGTGGATTACCAGTTTATTGTTTGATTTAAATTATACATTTATTAATGGGAGCTTCGCTTTTAGCTCTGGCTAAATCTGTATATTACTGAGTTTGTTATTCAACGAAAAAATGCTCAAGATGGAAGGGAATTAAAAAAAGACTTAAAAACAACGTAAAACGTCAGTGAGAGAAAGATTCGGCTTACTAACTGTGGAATTTTAAGAATTTGTCAAAGGATTTGTGGAGGCTAGCAGAAAAAAAACTTATTAATTGAAGACACATTGAAAGCGACGCAGCATTTGCTAACGCCATACCCTGCGAACAGAGTCTCCTTCGATGTTCCTAGATAAGTCAGGAAGACGACTTATCTAGGAAAGATCGAAGCGACTCTGCTAGCAGGGTACTAACGCCATAGTGTTTGTCGTCAAGCTGGAAAAACATGTCGCCGACAAAAATAGACAGTTAATACCATAGTGGAGTGC